TTCTCAAGATGCATCGCCAGCTTGGCGGAAAGCCTGATGGCGCGGGATTCCCGGGCTGAAAAGCACAGCTGCTGCATCGGCTGCTGTTGTGTCTCGTGCCAACACGTAGTATATACGTACGCCTTCCTTATTCCTCTATGAAATGGGTGCCCTGGTCACCTATAGAATGGTTTTTTCATTTTTTAGAAGTGTCATTTTCTGGTGGGTATTTCGTGGGGGGTCCTCAGGCGAGCCATTTTATAGTGGGTGTAGCATGAGATGTTGGGTGCCCTGTCTTGATCCTGGGGTACAAGGGAGAGTCATTCTGTAGACCCCGGCGTTTTTGCTATGATTCCTTACTGAAAGTGCGGGGGTACACAGGGCCGTCATTTTATAGATTTTGTTGGTTTGATGTACTAGCCTTCGGTTTTGTTTCTGGGGTCCGTGGGCAAGTCATTTTACAGAGTCCATCTGCGGCTGATCAAATGTGTGTGAGATTTGGGGTTCATTTATGCGGAACTGAAGTAGTATAGCAGCATTGGGAGAGCGGCGCTTCAGGGCACACAACCGGAGGGATCACGCAGTCACTGTTTCCATCACCCGTCACAGAGCAGAACGGTAGACCCTGCTAAAGACCCGAAAGAAGTCCTGGGAAAAGCTGGGTGCACAGTACACATACAAAGGACATTCAAAATCGCGTTCATGTGGGGTATCATTTCTCATAACCTGTGTTTCGCATCATTATAAATCGTGCCAGAGGCCCAACAGAAGTCCTGGGAAGGGCAGGGTATACAGTGTCCGCCCTTTGCGCGGAGCCGAACTTCATGCTCCGCGTTGCTCTGCAGCAGCAACTTGAGATAAGTTCTCAGACTCTGGGTGAAGGCGCTTGACTGCCAGGGCCCGTACGCAAACAACCTAATCAACTTCAGGTTCAGCTCGGCCATAGCTGTGTGTGCATGCAGCACAATGTGCTTTGTCTTAACACTGGGTCCGGTAGCTGGCGCGTGACATGTCAAGCTCGGTTGCCGACGATTATCGTCGAGTTTGGATGGCTTTCATACAATAGACTATGCCACCGTTTTTCAGCGAGAAGCTGAAAAACGATACCCCAGCTGGGAACCCCAGCCACCCGACTCAAACAGAAGGCTCCTAGACCCAAGCTCCAAACCCAATTACAGAGATCCGCCCGGCGCTTAGAATATTGAAAATTTCAACAATTTCCATGGTCCATGCTTGTTCACCTTGTGGTATAGCCATTGTGAATATAGTATATTATCTATCTATCTATCTATAGATATAGATAGATAATACGGTGTAGAACCATAGACTGAAGGTAGGTGGGTATATGGTAGGTATAACCAGCGGTATGAGAGGTAGCCATGGTAATGGCAACGACCGCGGCAGCTTTTGTCTGGATACCGATGGCCATGCATGCAATCCTGAAGAAGCCACAACGTACTGGAATTCACTTGTCTGCTTTATCTCGTCGCTGCTGCAAGGCTTCGTCACCTACGCCGTGTTCCTCCTACCTCACTTCAAATTTTTGTTTGCGATTGATGCTTTAACAACTGCATGACCTAAGTACTCGGTACGCTAGGATTAGGAGGTTCGTGCAACAAGTTCTTGCATGATCCAACATCCACAACTTTCTACTTCATTGTTCTACGGACGGCATAGCGTTTAGGCTAGTATACAGGAATTGGGCGAGCAACCATGCCCTAGAACCCCCCCTCCGGCTCCTGACGAGCCTCATCCCATGGCCGTGGTTCGGGGTGAAAAGTCGCAGTGAAATGCCTGGCCACCTCATCAGGGTTCAGGCTTTGACGGTTCCGTGTGTCACGGTGTTCCGAAACTTTTTGGCCAGGGCGTTGGGGCTGAAGTTTTCAAAATGGGTATCTTTGATTAAGATCAATATGGGCAGAAATTGTAGGGTGCTGACAGGTAAGCATGACAGGATTGCTATGGACTGGTTTAGGGATCTCTGATCGCTGCTGCTTGTGTTGCTGCTGCTACTTGTATTATGATTGGGCTGTCAAAGCTTGAGGTCTAAACACTGAAGCCCTAGCCAACTAGATCCTGCAATTTCGGACGTATTCTGAACCCCAGAATCCTGAAGAAGCTCACCCCACTGGCAGCTTAGGTCCAGGCTTCTGGAGCGCGCCAGGCAACGGTAAGAGTCCATAGGCCTGCCTAGCCCATTGGAGAAACTGCTTGTTTGAGCTTTGCGATTGGGATTTTGAGTTTCGGGTGTAAGGTTGGGTTTGAGGTGTGCTTTTGATGATTTCTCTTTATCTGCCCTATATACAGCGGAAGGTATCCCCCACCGAGGCTCCATCCCAAGAGACCACCAACCTGTATAGCCTGCAAAAGGAGGAAGCCCAGGAAAGGTTTTAGAGCTTGGAATTTAGGCGCCGGGTTGCAGGTACACGACAAGCAATTTTAGCGTTTAGGATCTAGGGTTGGGAGTCGAGAGCTAAGGGTTTGGGGCTTCGGCATATGGATATGGGGTTTAGAATGAAAGTTTTTGGGAGTTCGGAAATAAGGGCTAAGAAAATGAGGGATACCCGTTTCCGTGTAAAGTTTAGGATGCAAGCTGGGATCCAGAAGAGATCATCTGGATTCGTGTATGAGTCACGTAAAAACTCAAGCCCAAGCAAAGCAGCTTGATTCCTGGGCTCCTCCATTTGGTCTCCCTTTACGCCAAAAATGAGGCGTGTCAGATATTCTGGTCTCTTTCCAGGGCTGTATTGAGGTCACCGGGGAACTGGGAACATAAGCCTGGTTGTGAGATACAATCAGAATCCACAGTTTCCAACATCTTCCAAAGCCCCTGTGAATGTGGCGGTTGTCTCTGGCTTGGGGATCTTTTTTTGTTTTAAAACAAATTAAAACAAATTGTTTTAAAACAAATTAAACCCAAACTTGGGTCTCCAGCTACAAGAGCTTTCCTTCAAGATCAAACTTTGCTATTTCTTACCTACAAAATGCAGCCATGGAGGATGCTCACAGAGGAAAGAGCTTTGAGGACTTTCTTGCGGTGTACTTGGCAAATTTGACCAGGTGCAAAAGTGAGGATTACGCAAGTGCGAGCAGTCCTCAATATGGCTTGCAGATTTGGGACACTATGGTTGGACAAAGGGGTTTCAAACACGGCAGCACATATTCGATCCTTCTACTGCCGGCCAGCATTAGCAGGACAGTAAAAAGCACAAATATACCTGAACATCAGAATGTGGCGATCTTGTGTTTCCTCCAAGCCTGGCATTTTCATGAAAGTCCATGCCCTACACCATAAGCCCTACACATCCACAGATAACCCGTGCTGCATGCGCTAGAGCACCCTGCTCTCCGCCTCCAACATCTCTGGTGCGGGCACCGCAGTGATGGACTGTGCAGGTGAGATCCTTTGGATTGTAGACCTGAGGTAAAGTTCTGCTTGTGATCTTCTCGGGTTAGCCAGAATCATCTGCTTTTGAATACAAAGACCCCCAAGGAATGGCGGATTCCGTTCTCTAGAGCTGATGCAACGATCCCCTGCGGGATCTTGTGTGTATAGGCCCCGCCAAAAGACAATGGCGGGGGCGTGATCTTGAGCCGCAGAAAGGCAATCACTACCTTGCAGAGGTCTCGCGGACGGCCTTTCTGCGCCCATCTACCAGGGACTGAATCGCGTTGGTATGCAGATGCAAATCCTTGTCGTTTAAGTTCAGAATTGCCGTTTGCTTTGAGCATGCTTCCATTGAGGACAGAAACTCTTGGCATCATCAGGAACTCTAGGAGTTGTACAAGGCCTTCCTGCAACGGCCCATCAACACTCCCATCTAGAGAATTCAGGATTGCTCAGGCCCCTGCATGGCGTGTGTAGGCCCTTGCCAGCGCAAAGTGAGAACACCACCTCCCATACATCCAGCATGGGGTTGTGACTCTCTGTGAGCCCGTAGGGATCGTGGAGCAGTGCAGGCTGACTACAGTAGAGGGGGAGGACATGGTAATTCACGTCACTGGGGTCATACCAGGACAGGAAGGCCACATTATTGAGGTTTCTCTGCCGGCTTATGCAGAGGCGCATCTTCTGCAAACACACACAGTTACAGTAGATTCGGGCCAACATGAGGCGCCCCCACCGTAGGGGAACTCTAACTCAGGCTGTCCACTTGGCCCACTTCCAGTGCCCAAGTCTCAGGGCTCTAGATACCCAAAAGAGCTCCCGAAGTTCACAACATGAAGAATGTCTTTTGCATGTGTACTTAAGGGGGACCTCAATCTGAGAGCATTGCCATTTGTTCTTTGGCAATGAAGCCAGGCTCCCTGTTGTTGTACCAGTAGCGAGTGAATGAAGTCAGAATGGCTCTCAGATGCTCTCAGCATAGTCCCTATCAGAATTTCCACGACGATCCCTAAACATTCCTTCCTTGCTTCCCGCATGAACCCCAACAAGCTTCAACAGCAAATAATCAGTGGTCTCCAGATCCCCGTCCTTCGGTCCAGAATTAGAAGAGAACAAGCCATGGGCGATGTAGACCTGTGATTAATAAACCATCTCCTTGTAAGGGCCTTAATATTAGGATCCCCATTATAATCCCTACCTTAGGGGAGGGGGTTTATTAGTCAAGGGTCTACATTAGATTTTCCATGGCATACTAGCTTCCATCTTTCATCGGAAGGAAAAGTGTTGCATTCCACTTCAGGCTGTATTCACGCTTGAAAAGCTTATGATCTTCCTCACATACTACTGTACATGTTTATGAGCCTGTAGTTCCCATTTTCATTTCTTGTCATCTGTGGCCAGGAGGTGCACCCGCACAACATCTTCGCATCCCAACCCAACTCCAGCAGCAGATCGCTGAAACAAGAGCAAATTGCCATTGGCGGGTCCTGGCCAACTTAACTTCAGAACATTTGCCCCGGAAGGAGGATATTTGATTTGGCTCCAACATGCAATTCTGCAAAATTGCATCATCCAGAGATCTAGGTACTCTACCAAAGCCCTCAGCCCGAAACCTTTCTCCCAGGCGGCCAACCTTCCGGTCCGTAATTGGCTCGGCCAGAGAGGTAAAGCACCTAGGCCCAGATGAGTTTTTCGGGGCTTAATGAGGTTTTTATATAGTAAGGGAAGGACAAAAGAGCACATTACCTTGTTGAGGGATAGGATTTTGTCTTTCTTGGTGATTGAACCAGGCAAGCTCTTCCAAAATACTTTATTGGATAGAGCCATAAAATCATGTACGGTATATCGGGGACCAAGTACCGACATTCGAAATGCAACTTGCATCCCCTGAAACTGCAAGTAATATCGTTGCCCAGCAAGCCACGTTGAGAGGACACGTAGGTCACATCATGCGGGTCATGCCGCATTCAGGACAGGATCCAGATGGCCAAACAGCTAACTTTCACCCCTAGTCCCCAACATCCTCAAGCCAACATCCGGCGTTTTGCTCCTCAAGCCATGGGCTCCACCCAAGCCCGCGCATGCTGAGGTCCCAGCTGCTGCACGGTGATGACCTCGTAACATTGAGAAAGCTGGGGTGTAAGTTCTGTGCTCAGATCCTACACCCTAAACCCTGAAACCCCAGACCTTCAATCCTGAACCATGAGCCCTCACGCCTAAGCACTCAGACCCAAAGACCGTAAACCCTGGAGACAGAAGGATTGCATGAAGTTGCTTTTAGAGGCTTGTAGGGATTCTATGGGTGCATTCTCGGGTTTAGGGCGCAAATGGCTACAACGGGCGTTAGGGGTAAATTTTTGTACAAGCAGCTCTTTGCAGATTCTCTGGGCAGTCATCCATATGCTCATCCAGGCTTCTTGTGAAATAGTCCTGACCTTGGGGCATGCCCAACACTTCGAATGCAAGTCCTGTTCAGGATCTATTTCAATGTAAGGCCTTTGGGCTGGAGGGTTAAAGGCCTGAAGCCCAACAGCTCCACAGAAATCCCAAGAAAAGGTCAGACTAGGCTTTTAGAACTTTGCCTACAATGCATAATCGCCAGTGTTGTATACACATACACGCGTTTTAGTAGGCCCAAATTGCCTTGGCAATTTTGAAGCCTTGAATAAAGTACGCGGAGAGTGCAAGTTTAGAAGTTGGAAGCTTCAGAAGGTTCTCCCCACAGCCCTTAATTCAATGCACTTAATCTCAAACAATCGGCCTTACGCATGTACTCACTATCTCCTTTGAGATCCAAACTCTTTTTCAGTATGCACACGTCATGCTCACTCCTAGCGCATGGGAAAGAGTGACAAGCAGAACTGCGGCCTTGAGCATGAAGCGGTAGCAGAGAGCTGGGGCCGGTGAAGACGCGCTTCTCGGAGTCCCAGCCTCGGGATCGCATGGGGTTCCAGGATTCAAGGTGCAGGTTTCTCGGGGGTAAGGGAGTATTTCAGGGTTAGGCATAGGCAATTCCGGTTCAGGGCTGGGATCTTAGGGATTCAGGCTGTAGATGACGTATGTTTCTGGTATCTGGTATCTGGCTGCTGTCCGCGACGCGAGTCGTGCCTACCGATAGAGTCGGAGTTTTGCAGCGTAGGGGTTGAGATTTCCAGAGTGTTTAGGGTCTTGCCCTTGGGGCTGGGAGGCAGCAAAGGGTGGGGCAGTACAGCAAAGTGGGCTCCACATTGCTTCCTCCAGCCAACATCCTACTTTAATGGGTTATGTTGGGGATTATATTGGGGTTAAATTGGGACAATGGAAAAAAGTGGTAACTAGCCCGCAGTACAGCAAGTACGCCCCGTCCCTCCTTCTTGCTGTGATGCTGTCGCTACAACCACAGGAGGAAACCATCTACCGCTTCCCTGTGCGCAAATCCTAACGCCAAGCCCCGATCAGCCGCAGTCCAGAAATCACTCAGACACCTTGGGAAAGTGGGAGATTACGGAAGTCTCCCCAGAAATGCTATATACCAGCTATTGTGACAGATACGTCAGAAATTGGGCCTGAAATGAGCTTGAGTACGGCCTGGACTGCACACTGTATTGAAACCCAGAACCCACATAAACAAAGCGAGCATGCACCGAAACGGGAAGGTACAGTTTGCCCCCAATTTTGATTAAGGGAGCCGTAGTCTAGTTGTCAGCAGGCTGGGATCATTTCCCATGAAGCAAAACCTCTTGTCCGGTGCGCCTGCAACATGGCCAAATACCTTCCAGAATCACTCGCAAAAGTAATTCATCAACTGGGCAGGCTCCTTTCGAAAGTAGCGCCCCAAGCCGGCTCTTGAATTGTATAACATCAGATGTACTTCGCGCAAGCATCCCTCAAGCATCCATGCCCGAAAAAAAATAAGTAAAGAATGTGGGCTTAGCACCACATGGTCTTGGGGGTCGCACCAACTCTTCAAATGCAAGGAAACACTCCCGGAACTTGAGTGCGAGGCGTGCACCTCTCATGCAAACCCCATCTCCCAGTGGCCAATGTCGAATGCTCGAAAGCCATCATATCCCAAAATCTGAAGTCCCCAAAACCTGAACCATAAACTCCCTAACCCCAAACCATCTTCCAGGCGGGCCGCCGACTCCAATTCTGATGCCGAGAACAAACCGCAGGAGCGCTGTGGTAGCCGCAGAGTCCTCTTCAGCACTGCAGGGAAAAGAATTGGACCTTGTTGATATCATTATTGTTGTTCTCATTGCTACCACTATCATGACCATCATCGGCGGATGGACGAAGAGGATTCGTTGTGCACGTTTTCATGGGGTATGCGCAGGGCTTGGGAATTTTCTTGCTTGCCAACAACGGCCTAAACCTAAACCTACATGAGACGGAGAAAGGAGATCCCACTAAGCATCTCTCAGTACTAAATCCCGATCCTAAGATCTAGGCCGTCAGAAACAATCACTAGAAGCAAATCCAAAGCCCTACGCCCAAGCCCTGAATTTGGCAGGCACACGCACATGATTGCTGCCAGCCCAGTCCTGACTGCAGTTGAGACCGCATACACCATCAGCTACCACGTTCCGTTGAGCTCCAAGCTAGTCCAATTTCTTTGAGTCAATCGGCAGTTGTAAGATGCCTATGAAGGCACAACCAAAGTCAGCCCTCAATGGCAAATGCACTAGCAATGTGAACGTAATGAGCGCACTTCCAAAGCAACTTCAAACTACACATGAGCCTCCGAGCAGTGGAATAGAAAACATGGCACTTCCCAATAAAAAGCCCCCATGATGACTGTCAGAACCCTTTCTTCCATTCCCTATAGCAAGTACACTCCCCCAACTTCACACGGAACTCTCAAGAATGCACATCTGTCATCATCTACAAGAGCCCAACAGCTAATATTGGGGTTCCTCACATCTCTGCCAACGTTCCAACAGTTGCCGCACGGATCCAACAGTTGACGCACGGATGCAGGATTACCTTGGGGGTTGGGGGCGGTCATGTTCCAACTTTATGGATAATGTTGATCCGTATTTCTCGGGGTGAGCCAGAACTTGGAGGTCTTCAAGCAGGAATTCCCCTCAATGGGGAGAAGGATCTTCAGCTTTCCCAGCTTGAGGAACAGAATGTCATGCAAGATCTTCCCCAAAGCCCTGCCCTCCCTTCCCCTGACTCCCCTAAATCCCCCAATAAAATCCATCAGTCTACATAAAACAGCAACAAGAATACTACAACTGCCAATGATACCAAAACGTTATCAATTGTAAGAATAATGGTCATCATAATCAGGATAGTCATCCATTGTCCTGGGCTTCCTCTTGGAATCGAGGCGGGGCTGCTAATCTTTCGATGACACAAACCTGCCGTTTGCCGCGCTGGGAGCCCAGTCGATCATTATGATGATTATGGGGTTTTCTAGAATGAGGGGTACTTTTTTGGGGGAGTCCCCATCATAAGGACGATCGTGTTTTGGGGGTAGTTACTCTGAATTCTGTTTGTTGTTATATGGTAAGGCTTTGGCTGGTTGCACATTGCGATGATACATATATATATATATATCCTCGTTTTGTTGGTTTTTGATGAAGTAGCAGCTGTGAAGAATTGTGTTTCAAAATGAATTCAGTTCGGGTTCTAGGATTAACCTTCCGGGTTTGTTGGGCTTTAGGGATTGGGGTTGCGGGTGTAGGGAAGAAGGCTGCTTACTGGGCGTGCAGGACTTCAGGATTATCAGGTTAAGGTTCAGGGTTTATGTTTCGCAGGTTGTAGGGTATAAGTTGTTTGGAAGGGCTTGTCTTAGGGCTTGTTGTGGGGTCATTTTAGGGGCGCGACAGTTAGAATACTTTAAGTATCTGCTAGGAAGCGGTCTATTGCTGGGGGTTTCAGGAATAATGTGCTCTAGCTTGCGGGGCTTCTATACTCTCTAGGTCATCATGACTAGTCATGAGTCTAAAGCCTAAGGATGGGGGCTAAAACGGGCTGCTCCTGGGAACCTTCATGGGAGGCCCTGTGCTGTCGACCACCGGTGGGCCTAAGTGACTCCTGCCTCGAAGCCAGCTGAGACTGTGAGAGCATGTGGCAGCTGAAGCCTCTAACTCTGTACGTAGCATGTCTACTTGGTAAGAAAAAGCTTTGCGCAGGACATTTGATAAACGCGCGCCGTCTTGGCTTTGGTATGCAGGCTTGTAGAAAGCTCCATGCAAGACCATACCTGGGTTATGAAGACTGTAGTAGTACTGTATCCTTTCATCTTTGGCAAGCACGATGCAACGCCCTTCTACGATCGACCTATCCCACCTGAATATGTAAATTCCCTCTCAAAGTTGCGTTTCAAGGTCCATAGCAAATGCTTACTCTCCCAGTCATGAGGCGTCAATCCGCTGAATCCCTTGCCCTTCAACTTTCCGGCCTGGCGGTGACAGATGCGCTGCAAGCGTGGCTCGCCAGGACTGCGAACGACGATTCATGAACTGCTGTGGCTTACGCAGGATTTGGCAGTCGAACATCTTGAAACTATTCTCACATTCTTCTTGCATGGTGGCGATGCGCAGGGAGCACATGCACTGGCCGCACAGTTGGACATCAGAGCCCTTCAGCAGTTAGAGCTGACAAGCCCAAGGGCCCAGGGTCCAAGTATTCTGGTCTCCCCTCAGTCCCGGAACTTGATTGTGTCGCTGCTGATATTCAAAGCGCTGAAAGCCTTCGAAGGGGACCCCTAGGATTGCTGTAGGGTCTATTTGCGGAAGCTCTAACTTGATCCACGTCTTACCCTCGGCAAATAGCCAAAGGGGCCCAGAAATTCAAGAGCCTGCCACATCGCAGGAAGGGTTTGGGTGCCCCGTTGGTTATCGGGTGTGACAGAAGAAGGAACCTCAAGGTAATGAACACGTGCACGGGGTCAGAATTATTATACTTTCGTGACAAGGGCTTCGCCTGGGGCAGCTGTGGGGCAACTTACAAAACCCAACTTTGAACCTGCGCGTCCGTCTTTTACCTAAAACTGGTTTAGGTTGCTGAAGCAGAAGCTCTACAAGCAGAACTTACCACGCCTGTGGGGAATCATGCGGGCTTGCTTTTTTTTCCTTACGGTACTGTGCTTAAGCATGCTAGGGTCGCGCTTTCGGTAGTTTTTCCTCCTCTTGCCTTCTCGTTTCCTCTTATAGGGATCTTTGGATGGAAGGATTACCGTGTTGCTGAGGGTCAAACAAAAATTGCTGAGGTTGAGGGATACCTGAACACCTCTAGTCTCAATTGTGGAGCTGAAGGGAATAGCTTCCCCAACCTAGGATTCAGATTGTTGTCTTCAAAGAATCTGAGATTCCTTACTATTCGGCGCTTTTAAACTAAATTAAAATCCTAAACTTGACCTGAAGTTCCCACGGACACCCTCAGGGTTGCAAATGAACCTTCAGGATAGGTCTGTGTGCGTTCATGCAGCTAAGGTTTACTTTGGGGAAGATAATGCCCCTCTGCACCCAAGCATCTAATTATGCTACGCAGCGTGCGCAAAACTTGGGATCCCTGAACAAAGACCTGCCTGTGTTCCAGGTGCCACTGCTCTGGCTGAACCCCAGGCAGGACACTTTCTCCTGGAGCGCATCAGATACCCTAATGCTTTACATGGCATGTGTTACCCCAAGGTCGACTTCTTGAGTGAACCATGTTTCATGCTGTAGCGGCCGACATGAGAGAAAGCTGGCAGACCACCTTTCCTTGAGAGGTCATAGGCTGCTGAGGCCGTCAGATTTTTAGGACTGTGCGTTTGGTGTACCGCTTCGCGATTCCAATTGCCTCTACAGGTTGGGCCAAGCTGCCTGAATACTACAGCTACGACTGGAATATGTCTTTGTGCTGAAGCCCATGTTCCTCGTGATGTTGGCCTTGTGGAGTGTACCCTTGTGCTTGTTCCTGGTTGGCACGATCATGACAAGGAAATTGCACAAGAAGGCCCCCTCAAGGTCCTGACAGCTGCAGCAGCACCATCTGCAGTGCTGCCTTTCCAAGGAATATGAATGTCCAGGATTTAAGGAGGGGACTAATGGACTGGCATCAGCCTTGACTATCGGTTTTCAGACGATTCGTTGCTGAATATTAGCTGCATCTGCCCTCTTTCGTAGAGGGCTGGATCATCAGGATAAAGAGAACTTCAGGGATGCCTGGTTTACGATTTAGAGTGCAGGAATATGGTATAGGCTTCGAGGCATAGGCTCATAAAGGAGGGAGGGGTTTGAGCAGGGTCCAGGGCTGAGGCTATGCAGGAACCAGATTCTTCCAGATTCTTAACCAGTGATGGGCCGTGAACCTCGGTCCGCGCATTCCCAGATGTCCCACCTTCATTCCTCCCAAAGTACAGCTCAACTCTTTTGAGAACACCTCCCACGAACCACCTGGAAACTACTATAATGGGTTATATTATATAACACATTATAGTAGTTTCCATTTTATTTTCCATTATCCCAATATTACCCCATATAACCCACCATCAAGGGCCAACTCGCAGCGGGGGTCACAGCAATCAGCGTGGATGAACTGTGGCAAAGCAAGCTGAGGAGGCGTTAGCTTCCAAGCAAAACAGGGTTCCCCTTACTTCGGATTCCAAACCCCAAGGCCTAGCCCTGAGCATCCTATTTATACTTATAGTAGTTTCAATTTCATTTTTCATTATCCCCATATAACCCCAATATATACCCTATAATCATATTACCCTATTACTATATCTTAGTTTCCATTGTCTTTTCCATTATCCCAACATAACCCCAATATTACCAAACCTAATCGAGCGGCCTTGTCCCAGCCATCTGCCGCTCTGAGCGGCTCTGCAGAAGTCTGGACATCACCTCTGCAAGGCGGACTTGTCAGAATTCTCTTGCTAGCTCTTTTAAACGGCGAGGTGGTGAGTGACCATGTCTATCAGTTCAGTAATGGGACTATACAAGAATAAGATATTCTGGGGATCCAAGGCTCCTCTTCTGCTTACAACAGCTTCAGGTTGACGAGAGTTTTGGGCTGTGGGGCTTCGAGCTTAAGGCTCTTCGTATGAGTTTTCATAGCTCAGGAGGAATCCTGCTGCAGCAGTGGCACACCACTCAGCTTCCAAGCTACACGAGGATTTCACTTGACTCTGAACCGGTGTCATGAGGTAGAGCAGGAAACAAACAGACCCAGAGCAGATCTGTCATGTCGGTAGCCCCACAAGACACGAATTCGGAAATTGATGTTTCGGAAGAGCCGTGGCGGGTAGCCATTGCTGGAACAGCTAAACAATTTCCCCATCCACCACGTCTGTCCTCTTGGGCACGCTAACTTTTCACGAGTCCAGCATGTTGAAAACTTCCACAACCTCTGCCTCTGATTTTGCAGATCATCAGATTTCAGTGGGAATCCGACATGCTTTTCTCATCATTGGCAGAGCTTGCCACATGACATGCTGCCGCTGGCGTGCCGCGCATGTAGAGGGAAAAGTATGTCGGGATACCACTAACGACGCCACTTAGCGAGTGCTTCTGCGAGAGCGCCCTGGTAGCCCGGCACGAATGCAAGACGCGTCGGATTTGATGGAAAAACATCTGCAGGACTCTAGCAAACAAAAGTGTTGCAGCAGAAGCCCGGAAGATTCAGGTAGGCCTCTGACGGACTTCCTCCTCACAACTGGTCAGTGGGAATCCAACGAAGAGTGTCATCACAGGCATCATTCCACTACGCACGCAGGCTTGCAGGAGCGACATGGTCACAGCAATAGACTGCAGCTTCAACGCAACAAGGCGGTGCCATCAAACGAGAACAAGCTGAACAACCAACTATGCCGGTAATCTGCCTTTCTGAGAGCACTTGCGATTTCCACCAGATGGTTAACAGCCAAATGCCCCTGGCACACCGCTTCCCTGCAAGCGGTCTCATCGTGCACAAGTGATCAGGCGAACGCTTGTATCTGCACGTGCTAAATGGCCAGATACGTATACATACAGACAATGTGCCTCTGGCGGACTTTCTTATCACAAACTGTCAGTGGGAATCCAACGTGAGTTTTTCATCACGGCCATTACCAAATCACAATTATCTTCAAACTCCGGCACATGCCCAGCAACTACGCACTGCCCCATATGCCTCTGTCAGACTTTCTCAGCACAGATTGTCAGTGGGAATCCAACAAGAGATTATCGTCACGGGCAGTCCCCTCCAACCAATTGCAACAGGCAGGCCTGTTTGTCAAAAACTGGACAATCACAAAGATGCTTTGCGGGCTGCAAGCCGAACGCGCTGCAAGTCTACAAAGGCTCAGGAACCCATTGAGACTGGCAGTCTATGCCTCAGACACAGTCTTCATCACAGACTGTCAGAAAAGGGAATCCAACACGACAGATTGTCATCATAGGCATTCCTTCCCACAAAGCAACTGAGAATGGCA